ACCTTACTGCAAACCCAGTTTACCCCAGTACATACCTTACTGCAAACCCAGTTTACCCCAGTACATACCTTACTGCAAACCCAGTTACCCTAGCACATACCTTACTGCAAACCCAGTTTATCCCAGCACCCACCTGCTTACAAACTCATTTTACCCCAGCACCCAACTTCCTACAAACCCACTTTACCCCAGCAAAACCCTGCTGCAAACCCCGTTTACCCCAGCACCCACCTCACCTCAGCACCCCCTTTTCCACGACACCCAACAGATCCCACACCCAGTTCACCACAGCCCCCACTTTACTGCACCCAGTTCATGGCATCCCTGTCCCCCCCAGCACCACTCCCCCAGCCCAGGGTGGGTGCCCCCATCTCACCATCCCCCAGGAAGAGGATGAGGTTCTTGGCCACGTTCTGGTTGAGGCGCTGCAGCCTCAGCGCGTTCCGCAGGGTCTCCTGCGCCTGCCGCCGCCAGTACTCGGGGTCCTTCTCCCTCTCTGTGGGGAACCAGGATCCATAGCACCCAACAGCACCCGCTGCCGGGGTGCCGCCCCCCAAACGTCACCTACCGGGGACCAGCGATGCCGAGCAGAGCTGGGCGAGGAGGAGGAGAAGAGCCTTCATCGTGCGGTGCTGAGCGGGTGCTGCACAGAGAGAGCTGCGGGTGGCACCCGCTCGTGCCTCAGTTTCCCCACCGAGACCTTCGCCCCGGGTCAGCCAAGCGGGGACAGAAGGAAACGCCCCTTCCCTGCGCAGTCACCGGTGTGACCCCCTGGGGAGACGCCAGCTTCATGGGACGTCACCTCACTGTCACCAACCCGGGCCGGGGGACGGTGGCACGGCCCCCGTGGCACAGCGGGCTCCCCGCTACGTGGCCAATGTCCCCACCGTGGCTGAGTCCCCACTGCATGTTGGGGTCCCCACCACGTGGCCATGTCACTGCTGCACGTCTGCATCCCCATGGTACACCCCTGTCCCCATGGCGTGTCCCGTCCCCTGTGTGTGCCCGTGTCCCCAGTGCACCTCCATGTTCCCTTCACACACCCCTGTCCCCGTCCCCTGCCTGTGCCCCCATCACATCCCCATCCCCGTTGCACACTTGTGTTCCTGTTGCACACCCATGTCCCATCACGTACCCATGTCTTTGCTGCACGTCCGTGTCCCCATCCCGTGTCCGTGTCCCCACCAAATGCCCGTGGCCCCATCGCACACCCACGTCCCTGTCGCACACCCGTGTCCCCATCCTGTCCATGTCCCCATCAGAGCCCCACGGCACCCCCGTGTCCCTGTTGCACATCCACGTCCCCATCACACCCCGTGTCCCCATGGCACCTCCGCCTCCCATCACTCCCCGCATCCCCATCGCACCTCCCCGCCGCTGCTCCCCCCGCTCCCCGGGGACCCCCCGCTCCCCCGGGGTGGCAGCGGTGGTCCGGAGGGTCCTTACCGGAGAGGGGAGGGGGTCACACACGTACCCGCACAAACTTGGGTCCCGACACCCACGTCCCTCTGGGCGGCGTGAGGAGGCCGGGCCGGGGGGACCGCGGGCCCTTAAATCCCCCCGCACCCGGCCTTCGCCTCCTCCTCCTCCTCCCCTTCCTCCACCCTCCCCCCGCTGCCAGCAAGGGGCGGGCGAGGGGGGGGGGTGACAAAAGGCCACAAACTGGGCTTACTGGTGCCCTCTGCCGGGTTATACTGGGAGGACTGGGAGGACTGGGGAGCAGCGACCCTGGCTGTGGGAGTTGGGCAACCCTCTCCCGCCACCCCGGGAAACTGGGGTGAATTGTGGTGCCCCCCTGGGGGGTAGATGTGTGTTTTGCCGGATTTTGCATTATTTTCACCCAAGCCGTGCCAGCGACACCAGCGAGGGGCTGTGCTGGAGGTGATGGTCCCCCTGCCTCAGTTTCCCCACGCGGGCTCCTGCTGAGGCCCACAAATGATCCCTGCTGCGACCCCGCGGCGTTACCGTAGGTCCTACAGTAAACACGCGGTGACAATAGCGGGGGGGGTGGTATTGACCCCCTTCCCTGGCTCAGTTTCCCCATCGCGGGGGTCCGGGGGGCTCCGTGCCCCGCGGGGCCGTGGGTGGCCTCCCAGAAGGTGGCGGTCTCGGCCCAAAAATCCGCTCCCCGAGAGTGTCAGGGTGCGACCAAGAGCGCCTCAACGCTGCCCCGGCGCCACGGGATGGGCACATCCCCCTGCGGACCCCCCAGATCCCTCCGGAACCCCTAAATCCCTCCAGCACCCCCTTCTTCCACCCCTCATCCTCCCTTCACCCCTTTGAAGCCCCCCCAAGCGCTTCCCTAGCCCAGCAAAGCCATTTGGGTGTGATGAGCGTGTCAGTGCTCAGCTTGTCGGTGCGGTGCGAGCGGGGTTGTGGTGGCACCGCGTGTCCCCATGCCTGTCCCGCTCCTGTCACCGCGGCAGCGCAGCCGTGGGTTGCGTGCGGGTGCGGAAAAGCTCCCTCTTGCACACTTAACACGCGTGCACAACTACGCACGTGCTCGTGGGCTCCCACCCAGCGCAGGGCGCGGGCAGCACCCCCTGCCCCGGCACACTCACACCTCCACCAGTGCTCGGCTGCACGCGTGGCCCTCGCACACGCGGTTCGTGACACCGTTTGTTTGCACACCCGCGCACTCGTGTCCGCGCACGACTGGCGCTTGCAGGAGCACACCGTGCTCGCAGGACCGGGCGCTCACCCCGCAGCCCCAGCCCCGCGTGCTTTTCCCCTCGCACACGCACGCACCGACGGGATCGCGCCTTGCGTCCCCCCGCGGCCGGGAGAGCCGGGGGTCTCTCGGGGGGACGCTCCCGGGGAACACGCGGGGCTCCCCCCAAACGGGGTTTGGGCCCCCTCCCGAAAGAGTTAAGGGAGGCGCGCGGGAAGCCCGTCCCTCCGCGGCCCCATTGGTTTCCCATCCAGGTACATCCCCTGCTCGCTCGTCCCCCCCCGCCACCCTCGCTAGGCCGCGGCGGCAGCTCGGGCCGGGCCGGGCTCAGCGCCCCAGCGGGGCCGGGCCGGCGGAGCGGGGGCACAGCCATGGTGAGTGGGGGGCCCGGCGACACCCCCAGCCCCGAGGGGGGGCTGGCTGGGGGGTCCTTGGCCGGAGCGGGGCGCGGGGCGAGGCTTCTCCCGTGGGATGCTCGTTGTAACCT